TACTCAGGTATGTTTAATCTTTATGATCTTTCCATCTTTGGTATACCTGTTATTGATTCCTCTAAGGTATTCTGACAATGGTCTAGGATCTGCACAGAATCTGTATCTCAAGCCAGATCTGCTGCTGCCATTGGTTTTTTTGATCAATCTATATCTCAAGCCAGGTCTGCTGTCACTATTTCTGTAGATGCCTCAGGTCTTAATGTTATACAATAACTCGATGTTATATTTAATCTTCAACATGGTGCTTCCTTTTATAGTAGAGACTGAGACTTGTTATGCTTACAAATAAAACAATTCTGATTATACCTAGGGAGTTCCTCCAACTTTAGTGATACTATACTATTATATATTACAAGCTCTCAGCTTATTCAATAATATCTGCAGAACAATTCTGACTATGCTCCAGGGAGTTACACTAATCTCAGTGATGCCATACTACCTTGCAAATCTTATCTTATATTGGTTAGTTAATTCCAGTTTTGTTTATTATGGACTTTTATATAGATATAATCAGGAACCTGATTTGGTACTTTTATATTACACAAGAAAGTTATATGCCAACCTTTAAGATTTTTCTCTTCTATAATTAGATTATTCGTCTGTGTCAGAGGTGCTTTTAATTTTGGTTAAACTAATCCTTTATCACAGTCTGTTCTCATGTTCACTATTTCTCTCATCATTCCAGTTTTGGTTACTTTCAGAATACTCTCCCAATTAAATCCTCTCTTTGAATCCTAATTAAGACTTATTTACACAATCTGTTGATTATCCTTCTAAGCAAGTACTCCAAAAGTTAGGTACAGGGATATTGGTACTGCCTATATTAGGAGATATAAGGATGTTGGTACTGCTCTAGCCTAAAGGACTTACATGTGTAATTATTTCATAACAGTAATCTTTTGTAACAACTGCTTGTTACACATAGTACTTGCACTTTATGATTGGATCTCCTTTTAGGAATTTTTATTTCTATTATTGTATTGTATTTGAACTTAAACACAGGGCTTTGCATTCAGTTATAGACTCCTTATTAGGTTATAGAAGCTAAAATCTTTCAATTTTGCTTCTAACTAGACTTGAACTGTTAATCTTGACTGTGGAAAGTATGGGAGCTTAACTGCTAAGCTATGGGACCCACACCTTTATTAATAGATATATATATATTCATTATTATATTTTATATATTATATTATATTTATTATTAGTTATTAGTTAGTTAATAGTTATATTATATAGTAGATAGATAAAAGGATCTTAATTGACTACCGTATTCTACCGTAAATAAGCACCACATCCTCTACCCTATTTTTTAAATACCAGATTAGCGGAAATAACTTGGCTAAAGATCTCATTGCAATGTCCATTAATCTGACATTTAAAAAAATGAAGTAGAGGGTGTGGTGCTCATTTACAGTAGAATACAGTATTAGAAATATAGTATAGCTACATAACACAGAGTGACATCTGTAATGTTAGTATTATTTTACAAACTCCAAGTATCTTTGTATAAATTTCATATATTCTAACATTAAATTATTATATCAAGTACTATAGCACAAAAATCTCAAGTATTTTCAACATAAATCCCAAGTGTTTTTGCACAAACCTCAAGTATTGTTACACAAATCTCAAGTGAATTTGTATAGATCTAAGTATCTAAATATAAGTCTAAGTGTTTTAAGCATGAATGACAAATGATATAAACAATATTTCTATTTGATTTTAGATAGTTTCTACTACCTCAAGCATAGTATCATTTAATATTATTTGAACTTCTACTATTCCAAGTACAATGATATTTAATGTTGTTTAAACTCTCTTTATCCTGAATATAGTATCAAGTAATGTTGCTTGAATTCCCATTATCTCTGCTAGATAAAAAGATATATAAAGAGTACCTTTTACTTTTTCTTACCAATTCTAAGTTTCTATACTTCAACCTAGATATAATGATCTTTTAATTATAAAATGTAATATTCTTTCTCTAGAATAATTCCTATAAACAAAGTTGTTACTGTATGTTTATTTAATAAAATTAATCTATATACTGTTAATATCTTGAACTATTTGCCTGTTGCTATGTAGTAAAGTAAACTACTATACTTTCACTCTATATATTTTTGCAATAGTTAATTACTATACCAGATATTCTTGTTATTTGGCTATATTGTACCAAGAAGGCTACAACTCTGTAACAATATTTAATTAAAATATAATAAATTTATTTTTAAACCTTAATATTATAGTATATATAATCCTAAAAGTATAGTTTAAAATAATAGTCATTAGATTTAATATTATTAATAAGTTTTTTAATTTATTTTATAAAATGTCATATATCAGAAATAATAATATAACTTATAATATGTAATATAATGTTTTATTTGTTTTATTAATTTTTTATTATGTAATTTTTAAAATATTACAAGGAAAGTATACATATATAACTAAACTTAAACTGAGTATATTCACCATAATGTATATATACACTATTATATATACTACATTATAAAATAACAGTTGAATTATAAATAAAAAGTTAAGTTTCAAATTAGATAGTTTTGAATATAGAAGTAAAATAAAAGTTTATTATAAGAAACAATATTTAATAATTAATTAGATAATTGGATAAATAAAAACATATGTGTCTACCTTGTTATAATGTTTAAAGTACTTAGTTTGAAGTTAAAGTATAAATTTTAATAATTTTAATTAAAATCTTAATCTATTTCATATCAATATTATCCTTAAAATTCGCAATTTTGATTGGATGATTGGCACGTGATATTAATTTTTGATTGGTTGGGAGGATTTCAAAAATAATCTGCACTTTGTGTAACTTTAACGGTCGCTCCTGAAGGTACCGGTAATCATAGGCAGAAATTTGTCTGATTGGCTAGCTTCGTAGATCAATTTGTAAATCTACATATGATTATTAGCCAATCAAATCAATCAAAACATACAATTTGCAATTCGTTATTTTTATAATATTACAGTTCTAAAAGCGAAAACTTCAAGAATAAGTTTATACAAATCGATAAATACGCATAATTTATTGGTTTATATGCGTATAAAAGATATATAGATGTGTATAGAGTAGAGTCAAAATGGTAAAACAAAGCTCGAATCACTAACTCTACTATCTATTGTCAGAGGTAAAACCGACACCTCATAGAACCTGCGAAATGGACGTCATTGTGACATACTTACCTAATTAGAGGTGCCCATGACGATCCATCTGAAACATGTGCGCCCGGCCCCAAAGAAGCCATATGAAAGTATGCGGGACCCCACCACCCCCTCCGATTAAAGTAAGGTCGATCTGGACCAACCTGTTGCGCTGGGAATGGACGTTGACTCCACCTACCTTACTTGGGTTAGGTGTGAGGCGATGTCAAGGGGGTGCGATTAAAGACAATATGATGGGTTCTGGCCCCGGGATCGTGAAACTGAAACATTTCTCATCGGTTCTATGAAAGCCATGAGAAATGTTAAAGTAACGAAAGACTGTGTGGAAGTGGTTAAAAGTTATAACAAATAAGGTTGGGAAGTGTTGGGAATAATGAGAAGAGTCGTGGTCTCGTGTGGGCTCTTCCCGCGGTGAATTCATTATAAAAAGGGTGAAATTTCCCCTTTCCAAGAGCTCAGTTAAGTTCAGAGTCCAGTAGAATTAAGAACCGCCCCTAATAAAATAATAATCTATTGTCCCTACAAAATATTAAATAAAGTTAATAAAGCCCTATTTAACTTGTAAAATAGACCAACACTCTTTTAAAAATCGTAATACTCATCTTGTAACGCTCCTCTTCGATCGCCTCGACCAGTGCCAAATCGAAAATCCGCCTCTATAATCCTTGAGGAACGTTACGCGGCATAATCATCTTTCTAGCGACAATCCGTCGCATTCGCCCCATCTCTGAATTCGCCCCTATAACCCGTCACACTATAAACCCAGGTTGATATCTAAATCCAAGTCGACTTAAAAATATCTTAAATATAAAACATAGACCTTATACGCGAACAGGCTTATTTTCTTCAAACACCTAACTTGAAATCTCAAGCTTTAAGGAAAAAGGCAACTGCTTTGTTAATAACTACTTTTGTTTGTGCATTTTAAAATTTAGACGTAGCTTTTTTTTCTTTACCTCTTGCGGAAAGTCGTGTCTAAGCCAACCCCTCTTAAATTAGAGATTATTAGAGATTATTTTTAAAGTTAGCTTTCTAGTACTTCTTAGAAGCTAAGGATGATGTTTGTTAAGAATGGTTACTTGTGTAATGTTGCGTTCTCAAAAAGTACTCTAAAACACATAAATAAGTTACCCGGGCAATTGATTTACATTAGCCAATCAGACGAATTTCTGCCTATGATACTGTCAAGAAAATCCCGGGCTGAAGATCACTTCCGACTAAAATCGCAGGATCTCGTGTAAAAAAATAAATACGCAAAACATAAGAAATTGTAAATAAACCAAAAATTTACTATGATAACTAACTTCAGATCTCTAAGTAAAAGTTTTCAGAATGAAATTTTACTCATAAGATATAATTGTTAATGTTAGATATATAGGGAATTTTTGAGATACTGCGCCTCATTTTTTTGGCATAAGAATACCCGTTATGTAAAGTGATTGATTAATTTTATGCAGCTGAATTTATACAGTTTAGAGTACTTTTACGTCTAAATATAGATTTGGTCTAATTTGGATTGTTTATGGCTGTACAACAAATCTAGTTTTTTTTAAAGGAAAAAAAACGAAAAATTTTTATTCAACCATTTTTTTTTTTAAAAGTGAAAAATGTCTTATTCTTTGATACTTCCTGATATTGAAAAAAATTTATTAAACATCTTCCTATTATCTTGAATAATGTAATAATTTTGATGCACGCAATCGACCTCTTACAGATAAGAAACTTTCCTTAAACTGGGTACAAAATTTTGGACCCACCACCAGGATACGTTCCCATTAGAACACCTGCTTGCTACCTACCGCAAATTAATGGCTACCCCAACACCTATGGGTGGTGATGGATTTGTGATGTTGAAGGAGGACGAAATCAAACTTATGACATACCCGCTGAAATTCCAGGTGTAGGCAATTTACCATTGTTTAAACAAGAAGACATGCAACACTTTAGTAAATTATTAGAAGACAAGATGAAAGCGAATTATCTGTTGATAAGTTGAAGGAACGCAATATTATGCGTCTTCTTCTGAAGATAAAGAACGGAACCCCACCCATGAGAAAGACGAAATAACTAACAAAGCTCAAGATTTTGGTGCAGGTCCCCTATTCAACCAAATCCTTTCACTTTTGATGTCGTAAAATTTAGAAGATCAAGAAAGACATTTATTGGTTAAAGTTATAAACCGTATACTTTATAAATTGGATGCTTTGGTACGTCCTTATGCTCATAAGATCTTTGTGGTTATTGAACTGCTCTTGATCGATGATTATTATTTCGCACGATGCGGTAAATTATATGAAATTCGTTATATTAACTGTCCATACGTGCGCTAAACTTTTTGTTTTTACTTTAATAATTAATATTATTTTATTCCTAAAACAGTAAACGATGAGATTATAAATAAACGAAAAAGGTAATTGTTGGAATTTTTATACATCGATTTCTTTTAAAGAACATAATTCTCTTTTATATCGATATTCATGAACAATATAAAATTTTATTTTTCCTAATCCAAAGTAAATGATAAGTTTTTTTCTCACTAAATACATGTTGTTAGCATATATTTGTTCTTTTTTCAACAAATATATGTAATGATCTCTTGACGATCCGATGTGTAAGTTACGCCGTGGTTGAGTGAGGTACAGACTCGCGGTGGTTCTGGTGAGATACATAGTATACGCAGAATGTAATTTCCGTGAAGGGAATTTGTGCAGTCGCGCGTGTAGGCATTTGGGTTGATTCAACATCGTATTTACAATTTTTTTAAACCTGTAGGCTGAATCCTAAAGATAAAGTTCAAGTTGATGAAATACGTAACTTGTTGAATGGTTTCTCTAAAAAACCTGAAACGTTCGTCGGATTTCTTGTCTCAAATTTACCATTAAGTGATTATTCGCATAAAGAATTAGATGATCCAAAAATTAAGCATAGGATCTGTGCTTGCTTTTTTTATGAAATTGTTGATAAGGTATTCGAATACGCGCAAATCCTGGAACAAAATCAAGAAAAACATGAAAGTGAAATGGAAAAGAAAAAACGAAGGTTAAAGCATGACGATAAATTCCTTAGAGAAACAAAAAAGCTCAAAGATCGGATCGAAAATCTTGACGATGAATTCCTTAGAGGAACAAAAAAGCTCAGATCGGATCGAAAATCTTGACGACGAATTCCTTAGAGAAACAAAAAAGCTCAAAGATCGGATCGAAGATCTTGAAAAAAAAGATCGAAAACTAACTAAAGAATTTAATGAGTAAGATTATATTTTTTTACTATTGTGAGCCCCGAAATCGGTCATACGTTATCACGGTCATACATGACACGTGATCGATCGTCGCATTTAGGCCCGAGTAATTAGTCACATGAAAAGTAAGAGAAAACTTACATTTCTTACTTTATTACTTTTGTTACATTTATTACATTTATTTCTTCGGGTGGACCGACGGCATATAGTACATTCGGTTTTTCTTTAGGATAGAAATGAGTTTTAATAATGATATCGTGTAAATAGTTAATATAGAGGAAATTAACACCAATTGTACATAAAACTTTTGTTATAAATAAAGGGGCTTCCGCCCAGGGGGAACAAGTATGAAGCGATACTCCCAAGTAAATACATTTTTGCAATACATAAAAATACGTTCCTGACCCATATTAAAAGTGAACTATAACACAACCCAAACTAAAAACTGTTAAATCCCCCGTTATCCCTATCGTTCACCCGTAAACCACTGAACCGCATTTTGATCGTTCGCCGTAAGTCACGTGACCAAGCCGTTAACGCAAGAGAAGGATCCAAACCCGATTCGACGTATCGTAACCCCAGGTTAAGGAAGTGAAGGAAGATAAGAGCAAGCAAGGGTTAATAGAAGAATAGGTTGAAGGAAAGACTTAGAAGAGTAGTACTTACCTACGGATAAACCACCCAGCCAAATCTAACACGCCTATTTCGACTTAGCTGCCGCAGGTTACGCGAGAGTTGGATTAGAGTAGCAACCGAATCGCCGATTCCCGAATCACAATATGCAAAATTGCATCCCTGCCGTTCACCATGATAGGTTTAGACGACCATTTCCCATAATTTCGTGCTTTTTTTTTTTTTTTTTTTTTGTTGTTCGAAAAGTTCATAATCTGCATTGCTGCAGTTGTTCAAGTCAAAAAACTCGCCCAAATTCTCGCAGTTGCCGAAAAATGCAGTACTAAATCTTGCTCTTATAGAAAGAAAAATTCGTTATACTTAAGGTGTTGTGGATGCGTTTATGTGACTATGCAACCATTTTTAGTTTCATTAGTAATACGTATAATAACCATTTTTGAAAAAGGATATGTTTCAATTAATAATTGACAGGATTTAAAAAATGCGCGTAACATATTTACTATTTGATATATTTGATTTGTATTAATCTAGTGTGTTATATGAGGAATACTTATTAATTCAAGCCTATGAAATAAGTCATTAAACTTATTATTTATTGTCACGGATGATTATGAAATTTGGATCTATTTGGTGTATGATTTTAAAAAATTTCGAGTCCTTTTTTGTCAGCTTTTTTTTTATAATTGAGTTGGGATTTAGGGTTAGATTTGATTTATTAATAAAAATGTATAGGTGGATTTTGGTAGGACTTGTATGTTCAAATTGAGACCCCAAAATTTCACAATGATCCGATTTCACAATAATCCTCGACATTTAATGAGTATTTTATTCGTGATAATTTAATGCATAATAGAAATCTTCTAAGAATTTAATAAACTATTAAATTCATAAATATCTTAATTAGTAAACATCATAAAAGTTATTTTACAAGATTGTATAAATAAAAAGATTCCTATTGAAATCGGGCGTTACGGCGAGTCAGTCGCTCCACAATCCAAAACTTCGTGTAACCTACGGTTGGCTTAGTCG